CCCACTTATAAATCCTTGCGTCCTCATGAGGGTCTATAATCAATCAAAATATCACGAGGGTCTATAATCAATCAAAATATCACGACACACTCGTGGTCAGCCCAAAATAAGTGGCCCACACTATTGTGTGCATGGGTTGACTCTGATACCATTTGTAATGCTGAGTCCATAATCAATCAGAATATCGTGACAAGCTTGTAGCCATCCCTGAATAAGTGGCCCATATGGTTGTGTGTATGGATCGGCCCTAATACCATTTGTATCCCCCCACAAGCCCAAGTAACTTGTGGGTCGACCAAGAAGACCCAAAAGCTTAAGTCCAAATTACTTAGTAGCAAGCTAGTGGTGCTTTAAATGCCTAAGATCACCCATGTAAACTTGCAATGTGGGATGGGGTGTTACAGTTTGGGTAGGTAGAGGAAGAAAAAGACGGAGGAAGTTAGGGATATGAGTGAAAGGGTGTTGAGTCTAGTTGTCCTAACATGGATTAGGGTTTTGAATGAAGGTGGAGGGACTGGGGTGGTGGACGGGGAAAAGTTGAGTGAGGGGAGGGGGTGATGATGATGACAAAGGGGAAATGATGGTGGTTGAGTGATAACAGTACAAAAGGGTCTAGGTGTTGGGTGTAGGGGGAGGGTTTTGGTATTTTTGCACTTATATGTCTTGTTTTCCTTATTTCTATTATTTATAGTTGAGGAAGAGATGACTATCTTGGTCTCTTGTATTTGTTTGATCATAGTGAAAACAACAATCATGAATGCAACCCTAATTTAGAGTGAATCAGTTAAATTTCTGCGTTCTTTATGTGTGTTTTGATTTATTATTTTTATATTTATTCACGTTTGTGTTTATCTCACCAAATCTAGTTAGTTGTATCAATTCTTAGCACGGGTAGTCTATAAGAGGATGGTGGCTAACCTAGATGTGGAGAAGATGAGTTTTATCATTATTGGTAATTTTACTGAAGGATATAATGGTACATCAAGTATGGGGTGTTCAAATATATTTTTTGGGTTCATTTAAAGATTCCCTACTTCAAGATTTTCATTTATTTTGAAAATGACTAATTGTACTTCATGGGCTTCCAACTAATACATGTGTTTATTATACGGTAATTACAATTTAATGCTCATTTGAAAAAATATTTACAGATGCAAGAAAAAATTTATAATTTTAATTATTAATATTTATAAAAATTATTACTTATGTATATTTTTTTTTTCCCTAAATTTGTACTGAATTGTAAATTTTTCATTATTATATGAATGAGTCTGTCTCTCTGTTCTTTAATTGGACTCCATTAGCCCAATAGACCCACCTCAAACTGACTTTCGATAATCTATACCTTTATTTTTTTTATATATTTTTTTTTAATCGGCAAATGTTAGTTGTTAGTTATTAGATTAGCACCTAAGGAGAAAATCTCCTCATCCTTGGTAAAGCACCTAAGTACTTGTACTCCCTTAATTCAATTCCCCTAAGAGGAATTGAACCCATAACCTCCTTAGGACTAAACCCTAAGGAAGGCATGGTGGCCAACATCTATACCTTTATCTTATAAAACTAATTGAGTAAATCATTCAAGAAAAAAATCAGGTTGATCGAACATTAATAGCACACTATTTATAAGGCAAATGTCATCTGATCAATTAGATACCGGTATTTAATTAACTTGATTTTTTGCACAAATGATTTGCTAAAAAATAAGAAAAAATTTATCAAAATATATGAAAAATGTTTAGAAATATGTTTAAAAAAAAAAAAAAAGCTTTAAACCTAAAAATGCCTTGTTTGGTTTCATCCTCTGAAAAAATTTCAGAATGTTTTGTAAATAAAAAATAAAAAGTAGTTTGACAAAAATAAATATTAAAAAAATTTTAAAAATTATTTTTGCTCTGTAAAAAGATAAACAATATAAAAATGATAAGTAATTTTCATTTTTTCATTTTTTTCATAAAAGTAATATTCAATTTTTCAGGAAAAAAATTCTGAAACAAGTTTTTAAAATACAAACCCAACATGACAAGTTTTGACAATTTTCCATCATTTTGTCATTAAAATGATCCATATCTTTATTATGATTTTGAAACCTTAGAGAGGAAAGATGCTTTGATCTTCTGAGTTTGTTTTGGTTGTTCATTCATGGGAAGGTAAAAGTGAAAGTGCAGAAGCAATGAGAGTACAAGAAGAGAACAAGAGGGGGAAACAGAATTCTGGGTTTGAAATTTACTGGGACTGTACATTGTTTTGCAGAATGCAGACACTTTAATCAGTGATGGGGGGCAGAGGAGAGAGAGAGATAGAGAGAGTTTTGTCTTAAACAAAGAAAACTGTGAAATCAGAGAGTGACAATTGGGTTGGGGCCAAAAAGAACAAAGATAGTAATGATTACTAAAGCATCTAAAGGGACGAACTCAAAACACCACCCAGGATCAATCAATCTCATCAGCACACCAAACCAAAGCAATGCAAATCATATTAATTTACCTCTCTCTCCTCTCTCTCTCTCTCTCTCTCTCTCTCGCATAAACAAAACATCTCATTTTATATACTTCATTCATCCCAAAATAATAATCCTTTTAGAGAATCTAATTTTTTTTGATACGGTAATTATTGCATTTTAAAAATATTAATTTTCTAAAAGTATCATTTGATAGTATATTTTTTTTTAAAGAATATCAATTATTATAATTGTACTTTTTGTGTTGTTAATGAATTTAAAAGAATGACAAAATAAAAAATTCATATTATTTTAATATTTGATTTTTAAAAATGGACTAATATTTTGGGAATTAAAAATGGAATAAGTAACTAATGTTTTGAAACGGAAAGAGTATATTATTGTGCAAAATTGTGATTCCAATCATACTATAAAATAATAAAGGGCAAATTTCACTTTACCTCCTTGTAGTTTGAGTTAGGTGCGGATTACCCCCTACATTCGGAAATCACCACATAACCCCCACGTAGTTTATGGATCAAAGTGCACGTCTAATTTCTGATAACAACAATGGTAAATTGACATTTATACCCACTCTTGTCTTCTTCATCCTTTCATCTAACTTATGTTCTTCTTGCATCTTCTCTCTCTCATGGCAGCAGCCATGGCATCAATCATCATTGCCAATCACCGCCTCCATTCCTCTTTATTGTCATTCTCCTTTCTTTCCACTTCTTCACTCTGGTATCACCGCTTTACACTCCATCCACAACAACTGCCTAATGTCATTTCCATTCACCGACAACGATGGCACCTAGCACCATCTAATTTCTCAGTCATGGCACCTATTGCAATCAGATTTCTAGGTCCCAGCCACAACACGTTCGAATTCCCAGTGTTCATAATCTATTCGCCCCAATTAATATATCGAATTTTTCTGTTTGGTTATATGTATTATATATGTACACATGTATATAAGTATATGTATATATATGTATGTATATTATAAATGTAATTAAACTAGAGACCAGAACTAGGTTACAAATTAGAAATTAAGTTATAAAATTAGAATTATTTGGATTAATATTTGGTTTTATTATGTACCAAATCGGAACAACCTTCGAATTGGGACATTTTTGTATTACTTATTTTGGGAAAATGATAAAAAGTGACTTTTTGACTTTTAACCAAGCTTTTGGCTTTTTTAGATAAATGATTTGGGAATGTGGTAAAAAGTGACTTTTTAACTTTTTTGATTAATGTTTGTTTATGATGTCAAATCATAATAAAATGACCAAACTACCCCCATTTATTTAAAATATTTACAACTTCACCTATACAACACATTTTGACCCATGAGGGGTAAAATTGTAATTTCACCGTTGGCTAAAAACCAACTTCCCAAATGAAAAAAAAGACAAAAAAGCCAACTTTTGACTTTTGCTACTAACCAAAAAAGGTGGCTACAAACCATGTTGCCAAAATAGACCTTAGTAGCAGTGGTTTGGAGGAGAGAACAGAGAGGAGAATGTTGAGGTTGGTATGGTATGTGCTGTTGGGAGTGTAAGTTGTTGTGTGTGGACATGCATATTATTTTGGGGCAGCTTTGGTTTTGTTGACGATAAAAATGCAAAAAAGAAAGCAAATAAAGAAAATGGCTCTGGAGATATGATGGAAGGGTGATGGGTTCATGGTGGTAATCAAAACTCTATGGTTATGGTGTTTGGAGCCCCATGTGGATACTTTTTTGGGGTTTAATTTATCATAAACATACCAGCATGAATAGGAGGTGCTGGTGGAAAAGAAATGGAGTACAGAGAGAGGAAAAATAATGGCATTCTTTGGTAAATTTGAAGATGTATAAAGGGTACTTTCGTCCTAAAAGTAGACTTACTCTCTATATAGATGTGTGACTCTCACAACCCATTGTTTTAGACAGAAAAACTAACCGTGCATTTTAGTTCATAAATCATGTGGGGGTTATGTGTTGATTTCCAAATATTAGAGGGTAATTTCCACCCGGTCTAAAGCACAAGGGGTAAAGTGAAATTTGCCCAATAATAAATCAACAACATGCACACATAAATAACAAAAATATAAGATATACATGGTTCGACAACATATCTACCTTTACAGCAAAGCGAAAACAAATTCACTATAATTAATAAAAATTACAAGAAAACTCTCAACCTCTCCACTATTATGTAATGTAACTCTCCTGAAACCGTACCCAAAAATTACAATATATATTACAATAAATATAACACATCTCATAATATATAATTTTAGTTTCCATTGAGAGATTGTGGTTTTAGTGTCCTTTCAACATCTCTTTGTATAATTTCTCACCTAACAGGTAAAAGTTAGATATTCGACTCACAAGCAGACAATCTTAAAACTGGGAGTGTGCAAAAGATAGGCCACTTTTTTTCTCTCTTTTTACAGATTGCAGCAACCCCATTCACCAGAACAATTTATCATAGATATTGGGGCCTTCCTATGAAATACACACACATAGAGAGAGAGAGAGAGAGAGAGAGAGAGAGAGAGAGAGAAAGAGAGAGAGAAAGGGCTGATCAGAAAGTACTTTTTGAGTGTCCCAAAGTTATGCAACAGTAGGCAATAAAGCTCTGAAGGGTTGATGCTTTTGCTTCTTGTTTTGTAGTCAGGGAAGGAGGGGGACCATCTTTTCCTGTCATTTTCAAGCATTTTTCACTTGGCTAATTTGCATTTTCTTCTATGTGGAGCTTGCACAGGCCTATGTTCCTAGGATCCATAGCTCTCTGCCCCTCTCATACATGCCAAATTCAGAGAGAGAGAGAGAGAGAGAGGCTTTGCTTTCTTCTTCTTCCAATGAGTTTTTATCAAGTTGAGCCATGTTAGAATCACACACACACACAGAGATTGGTGTTTTGCTTTGCCAACTCTTTCAAGTTCTCAAAACCATGCCTATCAAGGGTTTGTTTTGTACTTAGTTGGCAAAGAGAGTTATTAAGATATGGACTTGTCATTTGGCTCATTTTTTTCTCTCTTCTGGCAGTTATGTAGTCCCCCCGCACCCACCACCCTCACAACTCCTTTCTTATTAATGCATTTGACACATTAAACATCTTTGTTTTTATTTTATCTTTTGTCTTTATCAACAATTAATGGTGTGTGAGTTTCTGATAAATACCTGAAAGGTTAGTTCTCTCCCTGTTTATTTGCAGATTACAGCTTCTGGGTATTGTTCATCAACAGCCTCTTGCATTAATTTGTGTACGAAACTTTGATTTTCAAAAATCTCTTCTTGTTCTTTTGATGCCCTTTGTTCACCGGCCCAAATTACCCATTTTGGTGGTCCACTAATCAATCATAGATCAAAATTCAATTTTTATTTATTTATATATATATATATATATATATATATTTGGCACTATACTAGTAAAATGGCTTCACAGGACTCGCCTCCCAATCCAGCTTCAAGCATTCTTCACCAATTCATCATCTCAGACTCCATTGCCAATCAAACCCAATTTGAAAACCAACATTTCGACGCTTATAGAACCGATTTGAGAGGTGGTGGAACACACCATCAATCTCATGGTGTGTTGTCTAGCATTCAGTTTCTTGGTGAAAGAATGTCTAGATCACTAGACCTTGTACAAGGTACTCCAATGGCAGAGGAATCTACTATCAACCAGAGTAGACATTTAATGGATCTTCTTGGGGCATCAAATGAGACTAATCACCAAGCCCAAAGGCTTTCTCTATCTCTTAATTCTGATATGCTTGTTCCTTCAGTTCAATTTAGGCAGAGACCCTTAAATTCAAATGTGTTTAGCCCCAACTATTTCATCTCTGGAGAAGAAGCAAGGGAGGCTTGTAATCCGAGGATGGACCGATCAACCACCGATGAATTTTCCTTCGTGGCTAGCCCTTTTGCTTCGTCCTCGACCTCGCTTAATCAGTCTTGTTCTGGCTCTTATGGAACTGAATCTTTTCACATTGCTGTTGGCAACTCTAAGTACCTAAAACCAGCTCAGGTGCTTCTTGAAGAGGTGGTTAATGTCGGTGGCAAAGCCGTGGACTTGCAAAATGAGAAATTTCTCAGAAGATTATCGCGTAATGGCAGAAGAGGATCACTGGGTTTTTGCTCTGAATTAAAAGCAGAGTTATGTAGTACTGGGTTATCGGGTGAAAATCATGACCTCCAAGTTAAGATTGTGAAGCTTATTTCCTTGTTAGAGGAGGTGGGTTGAGGAAAGATCAAACATTTTTCGCTTGTTTGAACTTGTTTGCCTTTGAATTTCTTTATTTGATTCATTTTTTCGGGTGAAATTTTTAGGTTGAGAGGAGATATGAGCAATACTATCACCAATTGGAAGGAGTGGTTTCATCATTCGAGATGATAGCAGGTGTTGGAACAGGAAAATCTTACACTGCTCTTGCACTTCAAGCCATGTCAAGACATTTCTGCAGTTTGAGAGATGCAATAACATCTCAAATCATCGCTGCGAAAAGAAAAATCTCCCAAGAAATGCCCAAAATCAGCACGGGTTTGTCGCAGCTTAGCTTGTTTGATAACGAGGCTAGGCACAATCGGTTGTTGTCGCCCCAACAGCTTGGAATGATGCAATGCCAACGCCAAGCCTGGAGGCCAATCAGAGGCTTGCCAGAGACCTCTGTGACGATCCTCCGGTCTTGGCTTTTCGAGCACTTTCTTCACCCGTAAGTGCTTCAACAACAATTAAATGGATTCCACATATTGCAATTTTATTAGTACTAATCGATGGTTTGCTTTAGCAGTTATCCAAATGACTCGGAGAAGCTAATGTTGTCATCGCAGACAGGCTTGACGAAAAACCAAGTAATTCCTCTACCCTTTAAATCTCTTACTATGTACCTTACATATTATCTTGGATTGGCAATTTAGGTTGTTTTGATGTGTTTAAGGTTTCGAATTGGTTTATAAATGCGCGAGTGAGGCTGTGGAAGCCTATGATTGAAGAAATGTATAAAGAGGAGTTTGCAGACTCATCGGCTGACTCGGATTCATTATTGGGAAGTTGTTCTATCCCAAGGGAAGGCATGACAGACCATGATGAGGAATGAAAGTGGTGGGAAATTAATGATGTTTGAGCTAAGGATTAATGTTTTTGTTTAGTCTATAAATACTGCAAAGGAAGCTTTTTGTTGAAAATGATGTTGTTGAGTAATTGATCTACTGAGTAATGTGCTTCTAACTGATCAAAATTGGTTATTTTATTTCATCAAGCATCTTTAGAAAGTGCATTTTGGTTCCCCCCCCCACCCCCCAAAAAAACCCCAAAAAAAAAAAAAAAAAAAAATTTTGTAAGAGAAAACATTATTTTGATTGTATAGCATGCAAAGGCTTCAATCAAATGGCGGTTGAATGATTATTTGAACATTCGAATCTCTTGAAATCAAAATGTCAAATAGTTTTAGTGGTGAGAGGACCGATATTCCATTTCTGGAGATCGTGTCTGTTTTCATAACTCAAATCCGTGTTGTCATCACCATGGCAAAACTATGCCATTGGACCAAATTACCCTTTTATCAAACAATTCATAGTAGTTTGTTTGTTGTTTTGTTTTGATTTTATTATGATCTTAGTAGATTGTTGAACACCTAAATTTCGGTAATTTAATGTAGAGATCGGATTTTTCACAATGTTGGGAGTCTTAGACTGAGTACAAAAACTGCTTTAGAGATAGCCAGTCTTCTGCAAATGTGAAATGTTTTCACTTTCAATTTGAACAGTTACTTGAAACATTGAAGAACAACTTGAAAAAATTTATATTGGATAAGAAAGGGAATGGTTTGTTAATCTTATTTCACTACCTTTTTTTTTTTTTTTTCTTTTTTTTTTTTTTTTTCGAATACATATCTATTTTGGCAAATTGAGAAATTTTGAGGACAAATTGAAAGAATGTAACCTCTTATCTCACACCACTTTTGAGAATTTTCAAATAAAATGGGTTTATTTTTTAGTTGTTTTCAAAACCTTCCATATTCTCCAAAAAAAAAATAAAAAAAAATAAAAAATGAAGAAGCTTATTTTAAGCATTAAGGTTTGTCTCGCATTGAAAGCACGAAAGAAAGTTTAGTATTTAATAACGTTGACATGAAATATTCTTTTGAATAACCAATTGTGGAGAAGGATGTTAGTGTGTATGTGCACACATCATAAGAATGGTGCACCATCTATATATATATGCATGGCGTGGGATGTGTGGCACACTTTGCACGAACACATAGCAAAGTTGGCACTGCATGGCAACACCATCATCCGGAGATTTTACACCTCCTCTATGCCTTTTTTGTTGGGATAATTGATGATATGGAGTCATTTGTGAAAAAAATAATTTGATCTTAGTTCTTTTTTAATCTACATATTGTTTTGGCCAGAAATTTAAATAAATAAATAAATTAGGGCTTGACCTCTGTAACAAAATAAATTCTAAGTTTTTAATTTTATCAATTTAAATCTTAATTTATTTATTTATTTTTAATTTAAAACATTTTTTTTATTTCGTTAAATAAACCAACGGAAAAAAAATGATATTTTATACATTTTATGTCATCTATATTGAGTTGAATAGCTAAAATATCATTTCTTCGTCAATTTAACGAACGTATGCAAATGGTTTAGAATGAAATCAAATAAAAAATTAGGCTTTTAATTGACAAAATTAAAAACTCGACTTATTTTGTTACAAAGGTCAAATTCTGAACAAAAAAAAAAATTACCCTTAATTTTATCTTTTATCTCATCATTTTTTCAGGATACATAAAATAATAATACTATGATAATCAAATTTTAAATATCATCTCATCTATACTATATATATAACTAAATGTAGTTGTTTTGTTAAATATCTCCAAATATTTATTCCTAAATTCTCATAATTTTGAAAATCTCTCTTTCCTACGTGGCAACCTTCTTTGACTGTATATTGAGTTGAATAGTTAAAATATCATTTCTTCGTCAATTTAACGAACGTATGCAAATGGTTTAGAATGAAATCAAATAAAAAATTAGGCTTTAAATTGACAAAATTAAAAACTCGACTTATTTTGTTACAAAGGTCAAATTCTGAACAAAAAAAAAAATTACCCTTAATTTTATCTTTTATCTCATCATTTTTTCAGGATACATAAAATAATAATACTATGATAATCAAATTTTAAATACCATCTCATCTATACTATATATATAACTAAATGTAGTTGTTTTGTTAAATATCTCCAAATATTTATTCCTAAATTCTCATAATTTTGAAAATCTCTCTTTCCTACGTGGCAACATTCTTTGACTGCCTTTCATATTTTTTATTTTTCTTCATTTTCTATTTGTTTGATTAATTATAATTAAAATTAATTTCAATGCTTATGGATAAAGATTTGAATTTCAAAATTTCTCCATATAGATAAACATATAAAAACTAAAAATTAATTTTATAGTCTACAGATAAAGATAAAAATTAAACAATTAATTTTAAAAAATTAATTTCATAGCTAATAGATAATTTTTAAATTTCTTCCTATAAATAAACAAATAAAAGTTGATAAATAACTTATAAAAATTAATTTCATGGCCTACAAATAAAGATAAAGATTAAATAATTATTTTTTTTAAAAAAAAAATCACTCATTTTTTCTTCCCTTCATTTCGTACTTTAATTAATTTCATTATAGATATACATATAAAAATTCATAAATAATTTATGAAAATTTATTTCATGACCTATAGATAAAGATAAAAAATAAAAAATTATTTAAAAAAATAATTTCATGACTTATAGATAAATAAACATATGAAAAATGATAAATAATTTATAAAAATTAATTTCGTGGCCTACAAATAAAGATAAAGATTAAATAATTATTTTTTTTAAAAAAAAAATTACTTATTTTTTCTTCCCTTCATTTCGTACATTAATTAATTTCATTATAGATAAACATATAAAAATTCATAAATAATTTATGAAAATTTATTTCATGACCTATAGATAAAGATAAAAATTAAAAAATTATTTAAAAAAATAATTTCATGACTTATAGATAAATAAACATATGAAAATTGATAAATAATTTATAAAAATTAATTTCGTGGCCTACAAATAAAGATAAAGATTAAATAATTGATTTACAAAAAAAGTAAAACAATAAAATTTAGATAAAGATATGATTTGTTAATCTATATATCTATCAAAAACATATATATCTAAATCTTTATTTTCATTTGCTCATATTTTTTTTCTCCTATCACATATTATCTTTTTTTATTTTAAATTTTTTATCTTATGAAATGACTTTATCTATAACTTCTTATCTCCTATTAAATTCTTAACATTCTTTTGATAATTTTTATTATTCGTTATTATCTACCAAATAATAAAGATTATAAAATAAAATAAAAAATTATCGCTCTGAATGAGAATAGTATTAATAATGAAATAATAAAGACTACATGGGAGAATGTAGCACAAAAATCTCACAAAATTAATTTTCTCCACTATATTTATAAAAGATAATAATTTGATATTCTTTCTATTAGTTATTAAAAATAAATTGCAGTAGATCATTTTTTTTAAGGCTGTCATTCGTTATAGTATTTCTCCAATCCCATATCTAAATTCTCTCTTTGAAATTTTTGTTTCTTCAATAATTAAGTTTAGAATCAATTTCTTATCAAATTTGTTTTTCTTGGTCCTTATCGAGACGAATAAAAATTTTCATTTAATATATGAAATTAATGAATATAATACAAAGATGATAAGGAAAGTAGTACATGTTTGTTAATATCTCTAGGTTATTATTTAGTTGATTTGTTATATATATTATCAATTTAGAGCCCATATGATTTAATTCAATGTCCATGACTTTATTTGTATTCGACCATTTTTTTCCACAGATATAATTTTTTTTTTTGGGGTATATAATGATTAAAGCTATCATTTGTTATATTTCTTCAAGTAAAATTCAAATAATTTTTCATCATTTTTTTTTATAAATAAGATAGATTAAAACTATTCTCTTATATAATTTTTATAATACTATTAAATTCTTATCTTGATTAATTTTTTTAAAATGACGTTGGATCTATGCAAGTATTCTTCAAACTATGGAGAAGGATTTATACTTTGATATGATATGCGTGTGTCATTGATAGAGGAAATCAAAGATAGAGAGTTGCTAATATAATCAATTAATGATTTGTTTGAGAAGTTCTTTTTATAAACAAGGCAACAAACTTAGATTAAAATTTTTAAAAAACTACTTATAAATTATAATTAAAAGTTGATATTCATAATTTGATCCCACAATAATAATATACACCACTGATTTAAAAGTCCAAGTAAATTTATGATAACTTTTATAAGTTTATAGAATTTCTCTCTTTTAATGTTTTGTTTAGTTTGATACAAGTTATTTATGTTATTAATTTGGTGTTTACCACATCACAGCCAATGGAATCACCCTCCAGATCTTCCTTTCTTTCTTCTTTAACTTCTCCCCTGGCCACCACAACAGTAAACACTCCACAGATCCTGGAATAGCAGTTTGGATATCCCACCAACCCAACATTTCAGCCCAAACCCTCCACACAAAAGGACACCAAATTAAGACACGAGTCACTGATTCAGTATCACTGCCACAAAACACGCAAGCAATGGAAGCACTAGAGTTGATCACCCCCAGTTTTTGTGGAAGTGCAGGAATGAGTGTGTATTCAGAAAAAACTATTCCAAATGCGGAGGACCTTTGTAACTTAATTAAATATAGGATTGCATTTTGGTTAAAGTCAGCTTTCAGTGAGTTTAATTTTTCAGTTCAGGATTTTGTGCTTAATTTGAGGCAAGTGAGGAAGTGCTTGGGAGGGTGTGTTGGTTTGGTGTACTGATCTGTGGTGTGCTGTTAGGCTTTGTTGCTGGGTGTATGCTGCACTACTGTTTTTTTTGTGGGACTTGAAAGGTTTTCTAGGCTGGTATGGTGTATTACCCAGATTGTATGCTGTTATGCTTTGAGGATTGGTGCATGTTGTACTGGTGTTTTGCTATTTTGCTGCTTGGTATACTACTGTTTTGCTATTTTGCTGCTTGGGTGTATGATGTATGTTGGGTTGGTATGGTGTATTACTCAGATTGTGTGCTGTTATGCTATGCTGTACTGGTGTTTTGCTATGTTGCGGTGGATTGGTGTATGTTGTTCTGCTTTATGCTGTTCTG